GGGGGGGGAATGTGCGTGAACCTCGGTTCGCGTGGAAAGTGTATGCGCCCTTAATCTAGACATTTATCAAAAATAAAGTAAAAATAGGTAAAAAAAATAGGTAGGGTGTATTTTTCGGGCTCCCCCGATTGATTATCACTGTCGGAGTCACAACAAAGGTTTTTACCAAGAAAACCGCAAGAAAATATCAAAATTCGGAAAAGGCCCTATTCTGAAGAATTACCGAAAATTAATTATAGGACATTATGAAAATAAGCTCTTCAATTAGCAACACGCTATTTAACATTGAACACAATGTAATAAATTATAGTAGGAAATTTGTTAAACAAATATTCGTTTCTATGTCTAAAATCTAAAATGTATCTCATGTATCTCAAAAAACATGTTTTACCTGCGACTTCTATAATGATTGGTGGTAACGAAGGAATATGATCTCTCATACATATAAGGTCTTTCAAGATCGCTGGGATTTCTTTCTCGATGATTAGACCATCTATTTCTACCGAAATTATTCGAAGACGGTGGAGACCTACTGTTATAATTTCTATAAGAATTTTAAACATTTATATTTAAATCAACCTTATTCGTAATTTACTGTATCCTTAAGATAGTTCTCCGGTCCTTGTACTAGAGAAAATCGATTTTCTATAAATTTTCTTGAAACTGTGAATATATGTTAATTTAGGTGTGCTTTATGCGTGGTATAAACTTCAGTACCTCTTGCGGTATAAAAAATCAAGATACTGAGCCTCAAAGTTTCAACTTTTACTAAATTTTGGTAAAAATTGAAACTTTGGAGGCTCAGTATCTCGATTTTTATACCGCAAAAGGTACTGAAGTTTATACCACGCATAAAGCACACCTAAATTAACGTATATTCACAGTTTCAAGAAAATCTATAGAAAATCGATTTTCTCTAGTACAAGGACCGGAGAACTACCTTAACTTTACTTAACCCTAGACAGACTAACTTATTTTTCTCATACGTGAATGACTCACTGGGGTGTCACGATACCCCAAACTTGTACCGCGTGTATAAAATATTTCCAGAATGTTCTTAGAAAACTTTATAATAGATAATTTTGTTTGCTGTTTAATAGGGAAGACGATAGTAGTAATCAATTTGCGGTAGTAAAAAAAAAACAGTAAAAAAATTTCGAAAAACAAGAAAAAGAACCAAAAATTGGGCTGAAATGACTATTTTTATAAAAAATGCTGTAGTTTTTCATAAAATTCACCGATTTTAAAATTCCCAACGGATTTTGAAAGACGAATAGACAACCTTCAAGGGCATGTAAGCGATTTTTTCGTTTCTTAAAAAAAACATATTTCTTTGAACATCTGAAGTAGAGGAAATGACGAAAAACTGTCGGATGGGAAAAATCACAAGAAATGGAAAGTAAAACAGATTCTGCCGATTATTATTTATTTGAAAGATAGTCAAAAGTTATAAAAGTATATGGAAACAGTAAAATTAACTCCACAAAAACTTTACAAAGTTTTAATCAGTTGCTGTGCAAGAACAGCAAAAATGAAATAATTGACCGAATCTTAAACAATTATATATGAAACAGGGGTAGAATTTTCCGGGGAGTGCTATAAAATGTATAATTTTTCGTTACCGATTTTCACAAAAAATCTGAAATATACTTTACTGTGGTAAATGTCAAGCGTAAATGACTCACTGGGGTGTACGGACACCCCAAACGATTTTCTTTTTCGGTTTTCAGCTGCTGCACGGATCTAACGCACTTGCTGAATGACGGAGATCGACTGCCGGATGACTAAACTGAATTATGGTTAGGGTCTCAGTATGAAAACTAACCTTCCTAAGGCAGGGGCTCAATTTGAATTTCGCGTGGGATCCCGTAACACCTTAGTTAGTCTGTCTAGGGTTAATACTTTATATTATTATACTTATCTACATAACTTTACTTACTAGTTTGGAATGAATTATTTCAATAAACAAATAATAAAAAATTCATTAAAGTTAAAATAGCGAGGAATTATATAAGTTTAATTATTTTAATAAATATTAATATAAGTGTAAATGCTTATTAAAATAATTAAACTTATATAAAATTTCTTGCTATTTTAACTTTAATGATTTTTTTTCTATTTAAACTTGGAGTTTAAATTCTATTTTTTTTAAATCAAAAAGGCAATCATTTCAAAATTATAAATAATTAAAGAAAATTCCTTGTAAATTAAGTTTCAGTAAGTCAAACAAATTGCACCATTCGTCTACTTAAATAATTCATTTACAAAGCCACATATATTCTTTCACTGATTTAAAATGAGAATTTTATTTTAACATTTTTTATTTAAAGTTTTTCATTATTTTTGTTAAAAGAAATATCGTCTCCAAATTCATCCAAGAATCCATTTTAATTGCAAAAATTAGTTCAATTTTAAAATTAAGATTGTCAAACTAGAGAGATGTAGGCTGATTCGAGGAAATGTAATTATCTTAGAATCATTCTATATAATTGATTGCATAATTATTACGTGTCATATTATTTTTCTTTCTTTCGTTACATACCTTGAATGACTGGAATAATGTTGCCTGGTAAATCTAGATCTGGATATGGATCTAGATCGAGATCGGTTGCGGGATCGAGAACTGGAACGTGAATGTGAGTATTTCGTTGAATAAGGTGAGCGAGATGAATAACTGCTGGTTGAGCTGACAGAACTGCGTCGATGACTTATTGTTCGTCGGCGGGTATTGCTACGTCGACGAGACCTACTCCGACTTCTATTCCTACTTCTACTTCTGCTTCTGGTTGTGCTTCTACTACGTGTATTAATATTTCTGCTTCTGCTTCTGTTCCTATTTCTACTTCTAGTCCTGCTCTTGCTTCGGCTTCGGCTCCTGCTATTACTTTTGCTGTAGCTTCTATTTCTCTTTCTATCTCTACTCCTTCTGCTTCTACTTCTGCTTCTACGCCTGCTTCTACTCTTGCTTCTGCTCCTGCTTCTGCTCCTGCTTCTGCTCGTCTTATTCCTACTTTTGTCTTTTGATCTAGATCGACTTAAACTGCGAGAGAGTTTTTTGCAGGACTCTTGTTCTTCCTTCTTTGTACTTTCCTCCCTATATAATATTATACAAATTATTATAATTAAAATAAAAAAGTTCTTATAAAATTTTACAATAATTTTTCTCAGAAAAGAGACAAAAAGGACTATATTAAAAACATGTGTTAAAACTGATCAGTTAAAAAAAAAAATCTTTTTTAAACGTATGTAGTTAATATTATCATATTGCATCATTGTTTAATATAAATAAAATCTTTTGAGCAGATTATTCGCGTTGTTAAAACAATTGGCTTGTCTTGGACACAAGGAACACTCGAATAAGAAGGTTCGTCGTGAAATCTAATAAAGCTTAATAAGACTAATTATTTGATACATTACTTTTTTTCATCTTTCTCCATAACATCCGTCACTGCGTTTGTGGAACATTCAAACATAGTTTCGTAAGTTTGTGCTTCTGCATCACAAGTAGGTGGTTTTGGCTTGATTTTTTCTGCTTCTATCTCTGATTTCTTTTTAATGACTGGAAATATATCTCTTACACACGAAATCTCAACATTACCATCATCTTTGATTATGAGTTCTGTCATAGTGGTAGCAGTATAGATATGCACTACTTCCGTAGGATCCGGAATCTGAGTGGGAGATTTGTTTGATGTTTTCCTAATTCGATATTCTTCAAAACTTATTTTGACTCTACGAGATAGATCGGTCTTTACTTCTTCATGCAACTTCACTTCTAGCAACGTGTTTTGAGTACTCTGTACATTTATATTTTGTACTTCGTTGTTTAAACTATTTGTAGTGGTCACTATATTTTCATTAGAATTATTTGTTGACAACGGTGATTGTGATGCGTTTGGCGGATTCTTCAGTACAGAAATCATACGCTGTGTTTTAGAATTCGTTTGTACAATATTTGTTTTAGGTAACATACCACTCGATTGCAAGATTCTGTTAGCTAAAGCTGAACGAATGGGCATTTGAAGTGTGGCAGAAAATGTAGAAGATTCGTTCAAATTTATATTTTTAACTGATAAATTACTTGAATCATGAGATTGTTTTAAAAGCGTCTCCTTTTGAAAATCTTCGTGATTATTTTCAAGCAAATTATCTTTCATCGTTTTATCTTGTAAGGCTGCTAACTTGTGAGCTTTCCTGTTAATGCCATTAACCGGTTTCAAATTGTAGTATACATTTGAAGTGAGACTATTCTGACGTTCCTCAATTATGCTAGAATTCTTATTTTGGCTCGATTTTTGTATAGATATAGGTTTCGTAGTTTCTACAAACAAGATACAGAAATTTTAGTATCTTTAATTTAGATAGTTTTTTGCTATTGGATTGTCCATTGTTAAATAACTTACTGTTATTATTACAGCTCTTAGTATGGACAGAGAAATTGGGAAGACTGCTACAATAATCGTGATCCAACTGTACCGAGATATTACTGAATGTGCTACTCTTAGCATCGTTCGTTACCTAAAAAAGCGTTTTAATTAGTAATTGATTATTTTATAAAAGATTTTGCAACAATGGTCAATATATGAGACAAATAGATGCGCGCATTTTACATGCACATTTCAATTGCGTCATAATTTAGGGAAAGGACTTACTATAGAACTTGTCTTCAAAATCTTGTTACGAGGAGCTCTGTTTTGCGTTCGTATACTGTTACGACGATTCCCACCTTGTATATTTGGCATAGCAGGTATTATCGGAATAGTTTTTTTACGTCCAGATGCCTGGAAAATTCAACAAGATAATCGTAATTAGATCGTGATCAGATTATGCTAGCCTGCTTAAAAATTAAAATATTTATTAAGCTAATAACCTTTATTTTATCGAGTACGTCTTGGGATAATGAGTTGCGTGCACTCTTTTGTAGAGTGGAAGCTTGCGAAACGGATTTCTCCGATACGCTAATCCGACATTCTTGTGTTACTTGGCACGGTTTGTTTGATCTCGTGTCATAAGTGCGATTATTTTTAATGACCAATTTATTGCGTGGATTTGAATTTTGAGAAGCCTCAAATTTTTCTAACAAACTCGTTGCATCGACTGCTTCTAGTACTAATGAAAAATAAATCTTAGTAAAATGTTACTATACCTATTTTTATCTAACGGTTTAATACGCATCTATATAAATTGATTTAAATACCTGGTACTTCTTCTTTTGGTACGGTTTCAACATCTACATCTTCTTGTTCCTCTAACTTGACTTTTTTATTAATTATTGCAATTGAATTTTCTTTCTTTTTCCTTTTTCCTTTTACATTTTGATTTTTCTTCCTAATATTTGTATTTCTCTCATTTATTTTTCGAGATACAGGCAGAGTATTACTTGATGGACATTTCAATTCTTTTTCTTTTGTTTCTTGTTCACTTTTAACTTTTATATCCGTCATCATTTTATTATTATCAGTTATTTCGGATATAACATCTTCCTTAATATCAACACCTTCCTTAATATCAACTATAAAAAAAATTTTATTCTTAATCAAAATAGACAAAATAATAAGAAAAAACATTTAACAATTATTGATGACAAACCTGTGTTTTGTTTTTCTTCCTTTAGTATTAATCCAAAGGGTTGGTTTATTATTGTATCCGACTCATTTACATCAGGTAAATCCATGTTTACAGTTGAAGCGTCCGCATTCTGTTTCCACATTGGTTACAAATTAGAAAAACATTTAATTATTATATTGTATAATTTTAAACAATGCAATTTATATATAGTATTTATTAAGGGTCCTGGATACTCGTCGCTTCTATCTTTATTTGATAACGTCAGAAGCGAGAAATGACACGTTGAGAATTCTTGTGTGCAATTTCCAAATAAAAAGATATTTGCATAAAATAACACTTCAGATCACTTCAGTACACTCGAAAATACTCCGAGGTCTATCCCTTTCCCTTGACAGTTAATAAACAGCCGTAAAATAAATGTATAAATACGAACCCTAGTCATGCGCCTGCGCATAAGCCTACATGACTATAGGCTTCGTATTACATTCATTTTACGGCTGTTTTAAGGGAGTATTTTCGAAGGTGTTGAAGTAATCTGGTGTTATTTTATGCAAATATCTTTTTATTTGGAAATTACACGCAAGAATTCTCAACGTGTCATTTCTCGCTTCTGACGTCACATTCCAACATAGCCGCGACGAGTATCCAAGAGCCTTAATTATAATATTATAAAAAAAGTAACCTGTAATAACTCCGAGTAATATTGCTCAGGAAAGTTAGTAGGACAGGATGATATAGATCGCATCATAATATCATCATCCCAGCCCTGTGGAATCGCCCTGTATAAAAAACAATTACATGTGTTTACATATTGCACATTCGTCATAATTATCGGATCATATATATATAAATATGCATAGCGTTCTTGATTTCTTGAATGAGAACAGAATACTTGAATGAGAATGTACTTACAGTTCATTGTCAAAAATGGTGCTTGGATATGTTGTGGCATTTTGAACATTGATAGAAGGTTCTTCAAAGTTTCTTATTGCATACATCAGTGCTTCGTGACGTCCTAGCGGCGATAACACCTAAATTTTTTTATAAAAAATTCTTTAAAAAATATTTGTAAAAAACATAATAAATATTTAATTTTTAACCCTTAAATGCCACCCGGGGTCCAGCGGACCCCAGACCCTTTACAATGATATATTTTCAAATGTTCCCCCCAAAAATGGAGCTCATGCTCCCATTGATGATAGTTGAGTGATTGACCTACCCGGTTGTACACTTAGCAGTACTCAGTTTACTTAATTTTTTATACTATGTTGAAATTGAAATTTTAACAATATAAGCATTTTATTCTCTTTTCTAAGCCTTGAACAACATTGTAAATAATTTTCATAACTAAATATCAAAAAATCAATGAGTAAGGAGACATTTTTCATGCTGGGGTCTTTTAGACCCCATGTGTCATTTACGAGATTCTTGAGAGGTGTGGCATTTAAGGGTTAAAAATTATTATTTGCGTATAAAGAATATTTTATAACTAATATTTTGTATGTAAGTGTATATTGATTGCAATGCTTTAATGTTTTTTACATATATAAAAGATATTATTAGTCGTATGGTCCAATATAGATTCTACCATTTTTCAAATTTTTATTGTATCATTATATTAATTTAAGAAGGATATAATTACGGAATCATAAAATAAGAATACTCGTTTTTCTTTTTCTCATAGGTTAACATATTCGAATCATCCTTTTTTTGACTCTTTTTCTCATATAAATTGACTTCATCTTAACTGTCATTTTTGTAAATATGTTTCTTTTCGATTTGAATTATAATTTTAAAAAGTTAATTCTTTTGCAGTTTTAATCATTCATAATTTTTAATTAAATCGTATTTATTGAAATCAAACAATCAAATCGTAGTCCATTTATTTCTAAAGAGACAAAAAAACTAAAAACTGACACTTTCCAACAAAAAAGTATATAAAGGTAAAAAAATATGATTTCACAGAAAGGTGTTAGAAAGATGCTACTTGGCAATCTCGCATCTTTTGTAATTTATTTCCTTTATTTTCCTTTTTTTCTTTGTTTACTTCACATTTGAATAAACAGAGGGTACTGCAAGATGACAAATTGAATAAAGATTTAAAAAATTTAATTTTTAAAATTATTATCTGCTTCTAATCGCGAAAGGAATATATAGTTAAGATACTTTTTTAGACATTTAAACATATTCAAAATTATTTTATATTATTCAAAATATGCAGGAAACAATCTGCTCTTTTTAAATTAACACCTTGACTTCCGTGCAAATTTTGTAACCTCTATTAAGCTAGCAGGACCAAATCAGCAAAATAAAACTGGATCTGTCAGGTTATTCAGTACCCAGTTTGTACTAATTTGTGTTAATAATAATTTTGTACTCCGTGCCATTTAAAAAAAAACTGTGGCGCCGTTACAGTTTTTCCATTAGCTAGCAGGACAATAAAAAAAAAAAAATCAAGGGCTGAAATGCAAAAGACATACGAGTACTAATTTAAATCACTCAAAAAACTTAATATATTTATCACTTCTGCACTATCAGAGCAAAACTAGTCTTTTAAGTTATCAGCAACAGTTTACTTTGGTATCACCGCTTTGAGAAGGTAAATTAATATACTCTTGGAGTCTGTTGCCAATGCATTTAAATCTAAAGAATATATATTTGTTTTTAAATCGTTTAATAAACAGAGTAAATTACTTAAAAATTCTAATATCTTAATTGCTTAATATTTTTTTCACGTAGTTCTACGAGCATTGATAATTTTTACAATTTATTTATATACAAGATTATATATTTGTATCGTTATTTATTTATATATTTATATATTCATATATATTTATATCAATATATCAATTTTATTATTTATATAATCTTATATAATTTCTATAATAAAAATATTCTTATATAATTGTATATTATTGTCTCAATTATAAAAATACATGAATATAATAAATGTAAGAATACTTTTACACATATGTCTATCATGTGAAATTATTAAGAAACATGACTCATTTAAGAATTATTTATTCTTAGAGACAGACAAATTTAATCCAGATAATTAATGACATACATCTTTTTAATCATGAATCATGTTTCTTATATGACTCACATACGTTAACGGAATGCATGCAAATAATATTCTCCATATAAAGTGAGAAACGTACAAATCTTCGAAAGGACTAAATATATAAAAGAATCTAAACTGCATTTAAATAAAAACTGACATTATCTGCGATTATTTTCGCATATTGATCTGCAGCTTTCATTGACATTTCTTTAAATGATTCGTCATAATGTTTCCTCGACTATTAAATCCATAATCGTGGAACATGAAGTCACCACTTCGTACCAAATCCGCTTGTAGATTTGTGATTCTCTATCATCCTCAGTTATTCTATGAAATTTCTTACGAGCGTCCTCTAACAATTTTATTCGCCCTTTATGTAATTTTATTTGGTTATCTCTTTGCTCTTCAAAACCTGCAAAATATTTGTACGCATCCGAAATTTTAAGCGTTATCTTCGCATAACTTTCAATGTCAGTGTCTGCAGTAAAATATTTCTTCGCTATTTTAAGTTGTCTCAAAGTTTTTACAAAAACCGATTTGGCATCAGCAAGATTTAATATACATGTTTCTGCAATCTCAATATTTTTACATTCCAATTCTTTTTCTAAGTCAGAAAATATTAAATCTGTCTTCTCAGATTTTATTTCTAATTTTGACATAAGATCTTGCATCTCAGATTTGTTTTCTTTACTCTGTGAGAATTTTTCTATCCAGAAACGTAAAAGAGAAACTCCATAGAAACCCCAAGATTTAGCACTAACGGCAAAAGCATAATCTACATAATCATAATTTTCATTATACAAGTGAAAAGAAGTTTACTTTCTTTCTCTGCCGTTTTCGATGTATCTGCAGCCAATTTGCATATTACACAATTTCCAACAGCAATATGACTTTTAGCTTCAGCAAAACAATTGTTTGCTAGAAAGTATCTAGACAAATCAAATAAGGTTAAAGCCATATCGAGACATCTTTCGTCAAATTTTGCCTCGTCAGATACCATGTCTGTCAGTCGGATGTTTAACATATTATGCAGATACATTACAAATCCGTCCTTATCTTTCGACCTTGTAAGAAAGTCCTAAGTCCTGTAAAGTTGTATGATGCAAAGTGTCCAAGATAATCTTAGAATTCGATTCTTTTTCTTTAATATCAACAAGACTTGCTATGTGGATGGGATCAGGATAATTATCCTCCAGTGTATATTCCAAATATAATTCCAATGCTGAATTCAAGAATTTATGAGTACCCTTCATATTGTTGACTTTCTCACAAACTGAATTCAATTCGTTAAGTGCACCTATAGATGTCAATATAGCTTTACGGTTCAACTAAACATCTGTTAAAATGTCCAAACATCTTGAAAAACATTGTACAGCAGTATTTAAATCGTCAGTATCTGTAGAAGTAGCATATTCTAAACCTATGTTGTAATAAGCTGTCGATAAAGCAACAATGTCATCAAATTTTCGGTCCGTTAAAACATCGATTACTTTATGATATAATACATTTATTCTCTCCTCTATCGCTTTGATTTTGTTTCTCTTCTTAGCAAGTTTAATGTCTCCACCCATGTATTTTACTTCAAACGGCAACTATAGAACTTTCAAAAATTTCTTACTAATATTCATACTTGTAGCGGGTTCGGCCGCGGTATCGTTTCTATATAAACAGTAAGAATTAACGGTGACAGATCATTACATGGAAATTTATCGAACTAAAAGTTATTTATATGCGTTACCGAGTTGAAGGAAGGCGCGTCTTTCTTCCAATAGTTGTCTGAGGAACGCGAACATTATTGCTCGATAATGATATAAAGATAATTTCCAGTATGAATTTATAAATTTGTGTTGCAACTTCCAAATTTATCAAACGTTCTCTAATCTTTGACGAGAGATTTCCAAAACACGTTCTATGCATGAAAATTATAGAGGGCCTTTATACCTCTGATATCCAATAGAGGTTTATTTTATAGGAATAAAATTTCTCTTTATCTAGGGTCCCTAGCGCGTTCTTCTATATAGAATATCGAATTGTATACCGGACGTTAGATACTGATAAGTTTTCTAAGAGACATAAGATCCCACTCAATGACCGAAAGTGTCAAATTTATTTATTTATTTTTCAAATGTTCTTCCAAAAGAGCTCGTTATAATAAATATCCTTTTTAACTTTGCAATTGTACATGCGGGTCGTTTGCGTCTTCGGCATTTGGACTATGTGGTATTTTCCAAAGGTTCAACGATTAAATTAACAATTGCAAAATTAATTTTATAATATTATTATTGTTTAAACTTACAGTTATAAGATCTCAAGGAACACCCATGAACTTTTTTCTCAGAATTTTTGGTAAAGTTTTAGGTTGTTTAATAAGCCGCGGACGCAAACGTCCTCATATACTGTTAGATGGGTGCCGAAAAAGAGTGTACGGTTGCAGGTTAAATTGTTGAAAGGATTGTTTGAAGCAAAAGGGATAAATATATTAATATTTTTTGGTACAAATTGGTACAAATTGGTACAAATTCAGTCTTTTGCTTTCTGCCCTTGGTTTTCTTTTTTTTATTGTGGTCCTGCTAACTTAATATTAAAGTAACGGCGCCACGATTTTTTTTCGGAAATGGCAAGAATAAGTACAAAATTGTTATTAATGGTACAAATTAGTATTACAAAATGGATATTAAATAATCTGATAGGCCCAGTTTGATTTTGCTGATTTAATAGAATGTCGTGCTAACTTATAATAGAAGTAATTTTGTATGGACGTTTTACTCTGAGGGTCACAGTAGAATTTTCATTATCAGGATCATGTATATAATGATAAAATATTGAATAATATGATTAAATAAGGCTATATCCTTATCAATAGCTTTTTACTTTACACTGTTATCTAGTTATTTACGTTATTAAAAATTATTTATACGATAGCATTCATCTTATTGTAATCATTTTAAAAAATTTGCTAGTGTCAAT